TGTTGAGTTAAATAATAGTAAAGAAAGTTAATTTTTTAAAAAAGAAAGCTTATCATAGCTATTAACGTCCCCATATTTCATTGAGAGGATTTCTTTCATTTGCCTTAGTTCCTTTTAGTGATATAGAGAGATGGCAGAAACATCCTGTGGATTCTGTCCTCCTTTTAGTCATGTCCCTCAGACTAAGCCATTTATGCTGTCTTAAAAGGTAGAGGCTCTAGATCGAGGGTAAAGTGATCATGATCATGTCTTTGGCCTTAGGTGAGTGTGCATTTGTACCGTAAACTCATATTAGAATTTAAAGACTATTTTGTGTAAACTTTAACTAGTCCATAAAAAGAATAATTTGCTTATGGCACAGCCTATTTTTAAGAATTCTCCCTTTGTTGTGATGAACAGATGACTGGTGACATGCAGTAGTATGCAAATAGTCCTAATTTTGTTGCTAAAATAGCACTTTTGTTTTCTTTTTTGGATAGAATGTCCAAACTGGACCAATGGGGCCAGGCTGAAGTATTGAACTTCCTGCTACGCTACCAGCCCCGCAGTGAGGAGGAGCTGTTTGACATTCTCAATCTGTTGGACAGCTTTCTCAAGAGCAGTAGCCCAAGCGTGGTGATGGGAGCCGCCAAACTCTTTCTGATCTTAGCAAAAAAGTTCCCCCACGTGCAAACGGATGTGCTCATGCAGGTGAAGGGACCCTTACTGGCTGCCTGCTCTTCGGAGAGCCGCGAGCTCTGTTTTGCTGCCCTCTGTCATGTGCGCCAGATCTTGCATAGTTTGCCTGGTCACTTTAGCAGCCACTACAAGAAGTTCTTTTGCTCCTACTCGGAGCCCCACTATATCAAGCTGCAGAAGGTGGAGGTGCTGTGTGAGCTGGTGAACGACGAGAACGTGCAGCAGGTGCTTGAGGAGCTGCGAGGGTACTGCACCGACGTGTCTGCTGACTTCGCACAGGCGGCCATCTTTGCCATAGGTAGGTGTCTGCCTACGTTACCCAGCTAGAAAGCGGTGGAACCATAGAGAGCAAAGGGGAAGGAATCTTACCTCAGAGACAGTACCGTGCACCAGAGAATCGGGTCATTGATGACAAATGAGGGAGGAAGGGTTTTATTGGCCCTATCTTCCAGGATAGAGTATACAGGTAACTCAAACTGTAATACTTAAAATTGATGTTGCTTTTTGTTGTCTGCTATCCAAAATGCTTTCCTGTTCATCATCTTACCAGTGTCTTGTGAGGCAGTCAGGGAAAGTGGACAGTGTTATTAGCTTCATTTTAAAATGGAAGAAACTCGGGCACCAACAGGTTAACCTCCCAAAGGTCATAGGGTTCCTGAACTAGAACTAGAACGCAGCTTTCCTGACTCCACGTCCTGTCAGTTCACCAGTTGTTTGTTGAGCTTCTACTATGGGCTATGTATAGTGCTGAATATGGACCAACACAGAGTAAATCCTAAAATTTACAGACTTTTCATACTACTTGTCTGTCTGGAATTTTAAAAGAGGAACTCACAAAATGGAAGCGACTGGGGAACTAAGTATTGGAGGGCTTCAAGTGGAGGAGGGGAAGGAACCCTCCTGCATAGAATGAAGTGTGGCTGTTTTTAGGGGCAGAGACAGGGACCTAGGAGAGTGGAAATCCTGCAGTCAGGACACTGCTGCCACCTGTTCGCAGCAGGAACATTCCTGTGCGCGTATATTTCAGCAAGAGCTGCTGCCTCCTATCTGGTTGCCAGATAAATACCTTTGTTTCCAAAGTTTTCAACCTTGGTCAGTGGACAATTATTTTTCTGTGAACTTTGTTTTCTACTGGTCTGTGAAAAACAAACAACGGATTCATTTTTACCAACTTCCCCTTTATAACAAACTTAGATTCGTATTTCATCGTTTCTAGGTATCTCTGGTTGTCTCTGGCTGGTGGGAAATTATGTTAGAACGAGACGCTAGTATTTGACTTAACAATTTCCTCTGCTTCTCCCTCCTTTGCAGGTGGTATTGCCAGGACCTACACAGATCAGTGTGTGCAGATTCTAACAGAGCTGCTGGAGCTTCGACAAGAGCACATTACCACGGGTAATGGCTACCTTTCTAGGACTTGTTGTCACTTGCCTGGCTCAGAGTAGTTGCTCAAAAAACATTGTTGAATGACATAGATGTTTAACCTTTTATTTTGCATCATCACTTTTGCCATCAGACAAATGTAGTATCTATGGATGTAACACGCTAGTCTTCAGGTGGCCATGTGTCTGCAAGCTGTACTGTGGACAATGAAGGGTGTTTAGTAGGACCTCACTTGTTATGTCCCCACCTTTACTTCTCTTTTTGCAACAGCAGTATAATGTAAGCGGTGGCTTCTAGGGCTGGAACTCGGCTGAGGCAAGCAAAGTGCCTGGGATGCAAAAATTTTAAGAGTCACTCATTCTCAGGTTCATGTGTGGGCTAACCCTGCGTGTCTTCCTAAATTATACACCTTGCTTGGCTCACCATAGTCCCAGCCCTGGGGGCTCCATTTATACTGTCTGCAGAGTATCACTCAGCAACACTGCCCACATTTGCATTTTACCAACTGCTTTCACATCCATTAGCTCATTTATCCCCAAAGCACTCTCATAAGAGCAACATTCACTTAAGAAACTGCCCATGCCCAGTTTGGTTGAGCATCATTCCATGCACCAAGAGGTCACTGGTTGATTCCAGTCAGGGCACGTACCTGGGTTTTGGGCTTGATCCCCAGTAAGGAGCATGTAGGAGGCAGGCGATTGATGCTTCTCTCTCATAGATGTTTCTTTCTGTCTCTCCCTCTCCCTTCCTCTCTCTCAAATAAATAAAATATTTAAAAAAATTATTGCCCACATCAGACATCTCTCAGATAATCATTGACCAACCCTTCAACATCCATTAAAGAAATTCACTTAGAATCTAGTCTGAACATAGGACTTTTCTTAAGGTCCCTTCCTGCACGGAGGCTCTAATCCTGTGCTTTTGTGCCCTGAGCTGTGTTGCAGTGGTGGTGCAGACTTTCCGAGACCTGGTGTGGCTGTGTCCTCAGTGTACGGAAGCTGTGTGCCAGGCCCTGCCCGGCTGTGAGGAGAACATTCAGGACAGTGAGGTAGACTGTAATTCTCCTTTACTTCTTGGCAGAGGGTGATGGGTGGGACCCTGACCTCTGAATTGGAATCTATTCCTTCTGCCCAGTGTCTGATATTCTTAGAATTGATGGCCGCCTCAGATTCTGTTCTAGGTGCAGATGGGATGTAAATGATAAAAACATTACGTTTTACCTATGGTTTTTATTACAGACACTTTATATCACTGTTCTCTTGAACAGTTTTGAGCCAGATTTAGACCATGGAGTTTTCAGCTGGAATGAATGTCAGAATCACATGTGGAATTCTTACAAATATTCGGGCTTCACCCGCTTCTACTAACTTAAATGTGCCAGGAGTGAGGACCCAGCCACATACCTTTTTAAGAAGCCTCACATGACTCTGATGTGTGCTACAGGTTAATCCCCATGATTACCTTAGAACCACGAAGTAACTTAGAGAAAATTTTCAGTAACTATTTCACTGAAACATTAAACACCTAATTGGGGCAGAGGTCCCAAAGCTGAGGAAGCCTTGTTGCTTCATCACCATAGGCCATAAGAGTCTTGAGTCTCCTTTTGTGCAGTAGAATTTAATTCCTATTAGTTGTAGAAAGTGTAGGAGGAGGATTGATACAGTGCAAGTTGAAATAAATAAAAGATTTTACACTGCCAAACCGGTTTGGCTCAGTGGATAGAGCGTCTGCCTGTGGACTGAAACGTCCCAGGTTCGATTCCGGTCAAGGGCACGTACCTCGGTTCGGGCACATCCCTAGTAGGAGGTGTGCAGGAGGCGGCTGGTTGATGTTTCTCTCTCATTGATGTTTCTAACTCTCTATCCCTCTCCCTTCCTCTCTGTAAAAAATCAATAAAATGTGTTAAAAAAAAAAAAAGATTTTACACCACCCTGGCTGAGTAGCTCAGTTGGTTAAATTGTTGTCCTGATACCACAAGGTTGTGGGTTTGATCGCGATTCAGGGCTCATACAAGAAGCAACCAGTGAATATATAAATCGGTGTTTCTCTCTCTCTCTCTCTCTCTCTCTCTCTCTCTCTCTCTCTCTCTCTCTTCTACTCTAAACCCAATAAATAAATAAAAATGAAAGATGGCTGGCACCTTTTCTGCTGACACTAGTGGGAAAACAAAACCTATAACTGTGTACTGTCTGCAGTGTTTTAGACAACCAGAGGTTGAGCACCTGATCTACTCCTTCGTTCCCCAGGGGAAGCAGGCGCTCATTTGGCTCCTCGGTGTCCATGGGGAAAGAATTCCCAATGCTCCTTACGTGTTGGAAGACTTCGTAGAGAACGTGAAGTCGGAGACATTTCCGGCTGTTAAGATGGAGCTCCTCACGGCGCTGCTGCGCCTTTTCCTCTCACGGCCCGCTGAGTGCCAGGACACGCTGGGCCGCCTGCTGCATTACTGCATAGGTAGGCTCTCCCGAAGGAATGAGGACTTGCCATGATCCATAGTCAATTCCCACAGCTTTCCTGGTTTGTGAATCATGTCTGGGACCAAGAAGAAAATGTTAATGTTTCCTAGTGTTTCTGTCCTTTATTTTTTACCCCTGTTTTGGTTGGCACAGAGATAGGAGGAGAGTGTGTTTTTTGTGTTGTTTTGTTTTAAGAGTAAAGTTAAACTTTACAATAATTCTTTTCTATATACAAAGAATTATGGTACCTGTTCATGGGGACTCCTAGCCCAGGGCTCCCCTCTTTTCCACTAAAAGTTTCACTTACAGCTGACAATCTATGGGAGTGAGGAGGAGGGAAAAAAAAGGTGATGGACCTCAGCTGTCCCCCACACCACTTTTCTTAAAAGTATAAAGATAGATCTCTAATGTGAGCTTGTTTCTTTGCCAAGACTTTGAAATCTGCTCTTGCATGAGCTCCTATGTGCTGTACTCACCCATCTTCTACACACTCTCACCTACATGCACACACAGGCAGCACCACCGCAGACCTGGAGACTAGCTGTTCTCTGCCCTCCTCTGGAAACCTCAAGCACCAGACCATTCATTTCTACTCCTACTCCCTGGGCTCTCCTCCTGTCCACAAAGCTTTGCTCAACTTCCAGAGTGTTACACCTGAAGCCCCTCAATAGCCTGATGTTTGGAAAGTCATGGGAAAGCAGCTCTAGAGAAGGAACCACTTAAGAATTTAACGTGTGCTGCGTTTTGCTTATGTTGCTAGGAAACATTTCTTTCCAGGCTGTGGATTTCTAATGAAACTTTCTGCTTCCTTAAGAAATAATACCCTTAA